TAATATATTTAATATATTCCAGAGATCCGCAAGCTTTTTCTATAAAGACCAGATGGTAAATATTTCCAGCTTTGCAAGTCAGACAGCCTCTGTCTGGATTTAACTCTGCCACCGTAGCTGGCGAGCCACCACAGGCAATATGCAAATGAGCAGAGTAACACTGCATTCCAATCAGACTTCATTTGCGGACGCTGAAATTTAAATTTCATATAATTTTCCTGTGTCACAGAATACTATCCTTGTGAAATATTTGAGAGTTCAGATTTTCAGATTTGAGATGTTCAACCAGTTAAGAATAATGCAAATATTCCAAAATTCAAAAAAAATATCCAAAGTCCAAAACTTCTGGTCCAAAGCATTTTGGATAAGGGATTTTTAACCTGTACAAGGGCTACATTTATGTTCAATAAATAAATTTTTCAGAAGTGCAACAGAATGGTACAGTTGCCTTTTTATAATATTAATTAGGTTTGACAGTGCTTAAAACCTTGGATGAGATACACTCAATACTACTACCTTAGCTATGTTACCAGCAAAGTCTTAGTGTAAAGATCCTATCAGGCGGGGGGGGGGGGGGTTGTTTTTATTTTGGTTTTTTTGAGACACAGTCTGGCTCTGCCACCCCGGGTAGAGTGCAGTGCCATCGTCACAGCTCACTGCAACCTCCTCGGCCTCCCAAGTAGCTGGGACTACAGGCGTGCGTCATGATACCCAGCTAATTTTTCTATTTTTAGTAGAGATGGGGTCTCGCTCTTGCTCAGGCTGGTCTCAAAGTCCTGGCTTCAAGTGATCCTCCCGCCTTGGCCTCCCAGAGTGCTAGGATTACAGGCATGAGCCACCGCGCCCGGCCGGTTTTTGAAGTCACCAGAAACGGTTGTGTTGTACTACACAGACTCACCGAACATAATATAGTAGTGTGATTTTCCATTCAGGTTCTTCTGATCCACGTCTGCAGGAAAGACCTTAACGTAGCCCCCTCCACAGTCCATCTTCTGCTCATGTTTCACTGTGTATTGAATGACCAGGGTTTTGCCTTTATTGCTGAACGGTTTGAAGCGTGCGGAGATGGCGTAGAATCGGCCATTCTGAGTGGTCTGCAGACCTTTGAACAAAAACCACTCGTGAAGGATCAGGAATGACATTGTGTTCAGTAAGGCAGGGAAGTTAAACGAATGTCCTTCCCTCACTCCAACAGTCAATGTCCTAACCATTTTCATCGATCCAGTGCCATGGCACGTTTATACAATAATACACAACAGGTACACTGCTAACAGGCTCTCTGCTTCCACAGAACTTCTATGTCATGCACCTGGATGTTTTTGTACTTAATATGCCACTGTTATGTTTTAAGTTACAAAAACATTTCAACTCTAAATGACAAATAGGCAATCTAATTACTGATAAAAGGTTAATTTTGCCTCCATTCATCTTCCAAGGGGCGAGAATATACAATGAAGCTTATGTAGCAACTGAATAAAAAAATGGAACTGTCTATCTCCTTCCCTCCCCTCCCCTCCTTTCTGCACCTGGGCAGATCCATTCCTACTATAACCTACCGGATGCCATCATAAATGAACTTGGCATTTTCTATTCATGTGTCCAGACTGGAACTCATGGCTGACTCCCCACTACCATACCTCTCTCTCCCCTCCATTCTTCACTCACCCTTCCCTTTCTCAGGGGATCCATAGCCCCTTCCCCTCCTCTCCTCTGCCCTCCACCATCCAGGCAATTCCTAAGGCCATCTGATTCCCTACCTCCCTTTATGTCTTGCCACCTTCCTCCGACACCCCCATTCTCTCTCACCACTTCTCACCTGTGATTAAATTCAACTTATCTCTCCATCCGTGGCTTCTATGTCATGGTCCCAGGAGACCACAAGGAAAGGGGCCATATTAACTGGTATCCCCAGGGCCTTACCCCCATCTACTCTCTGTAAACATGCGGTAAAGGAATGAAAGAAATGCACAAAATCTCAGGGTTCCAACCGAAAAAAGGAAAACTATTGTGGGGGAACAAAAACCCTTAGATTCTAAGTGGAAAGTCCTGCCTTTGGACAAGTTTCATGGAATCATTTGTTTATTTTTCACTACATTTTTGTCATTTTGTCATATACCTTGAATTTTGTCATATAGCTTGAATTGTTACCAATCATTTGCGCCAACATGTATCTGATGAAATAATGCAAAGGATCTGAAGCCAGAGGCTACCAGACTTAGGGCAACACTGGAGCAACAAGGCCAGGATGGAGGTTAAGTGGAGGGTGGTGACGAGTGAAACTTTTTCTATAAGGCCAGATAGAAAACACAGTTGGCCCATGAACAACATGGGTTTGAACTGCGCAGATCCACTTATACATGGATTTTTTTTCCAATAAAAGTTACACCGAGTCTGTCTGCCTCTCCCACCTCCCCTTCCACCTCTTCACCTCGGCCACCCCCAAGGCAGCAAGAACCATCCCTCCTCTTCCTCCTCCTTAGCCTACTCAATATGAAGATGATGAGGATGAAGACCTTATGAGGATCCACTTCTACTTCATGCATATGAAATATATTCTCTCTTCCTTATGGTTTGGTTAATAACAATTTTTTAGCTTACTTTATTAAAAGAATATAGTATATAATACATATAACATACAAAATATATGTTAATCAACAATTTATGTTATCGGTAAGGCTTCCAGTCAACAGTAGTCTATGAGTAGTTACGTTTTCAGGAAGTTAAACGTTATAGGAGGATTTTCGGCTGCACAGGGTTCAGAGCCCCTAAGCCTTGAGTTGTACAAGGGTCAACAGACAGCCTCTGTCTGGATTTAACTCTGCCACCGTAGCTGGCGAGCCACCACAGGCAATATGCAAATGAGCAGAGTAACACTGCATTCCAATCAGACTTCATTTGCGGACGCTGAAATTTAAATTTCATATAATTTTCCTGTGTCACAGAATACTATCCTTGTGAAATATTTGAGAGTTCAGATTTTCAGATTTGAGATGTTCAACCAGTTAAGAATAATGCAAATATTCCAAAATTCAAAAAAAATATCCAAAGTCCAAAACTTCTGGTCCAAAGCATTTTGGATAAGGGATTTTTAACCTGTACAAGGGCTACATTAATGTTCAATAAATAAATTTTTCAGAAGTGCAACAGAATGGTACAGTTGCCTTTTTATAATATTAATTAGGTTTGACAGTGCTTAAAACCTTGGATGAGATACACTCAATACTACTACCTCCATTATGTACATCCACTGATCCAGGCCCCACCCCGGGCAGCCTGAGAGGCAAACTCAGGGTAAACACAAGCAGATGCCTGCTATGATTTCTTCCAGGTGACAGGTAAGTGACATGAACTTGCAGTGATGACCCTCCAGAATAAACAGTAGAGATCCAAGCTCCGGTTACTATTTTAAGAATATTATCAATTTGCCAGAAGTAGCTGCACTGAACTTGGAAATGGCATTCTGTGGGATTAGCAGTGAACACCAGGTCTACGCCCCAGCTGAGTTCCTGGAGGACATGTGTTTCTGTAACTTCCTTTGTCATCGCTGAAGAGCATTCTAGTTCAATTTCTAAAACATAAGCTATGCCATGTGAACTGTTAGTATGAAAGTCTACTTAGGATGGAGACATGCAATTTATTTTCCTTCAAAATTGGACAGAATTTCCCACTCTGTTCCTAAGCACCTACACATTTTTTTGGCTTCAGAACACACTCAGAACTGACCAGGAAAGCTGGACGTCATCCTTTAACAGCAACAATAAAATATTTATGCACACGGTGGATTTTCATAAGGAAATGTGGTAGACAGATGTGCTCTGAAGTCAGGTTGATCTAACTTTGGGTGAGTAGTTTAATCTCCCTGAGCCTCAGTTTCCATATTTGCAAAATTTATGCATAACCTATGGATATGTGTTTATGCAAATGTAAGAGCTCAGACAAGGGCCCAGTAAAATACATTTCCCTCCTCTTCCTCCTTAACAACCCACAAATCAGCAAGCTTCCCTCATATCAAAGGCTGGAGTTAACTCATTACAGGGAAGTGTTAAACAGTGACAGAGTGGGTTTGAATAAAATGGAACCAATTTTGAGTTAAAAACAAAAATAAAACAGAAAAGTTATTTTAATTGTTTTTTCACTGCAAAGTATGCTGTTTCACAATTCAGATGTAGCAGACATATCTGCTATACATAGTTAAAAGTAGTATTTTGGTGACTATTTCTGGTTATCTTGTTTACCAAATGTTAACAAATATTTGTGAAATGATCTCTAATACAACAGGTTTTTTTCCCCCTATATCTCTGCCATCCATTTTGTTTTGTTTTTTTTAAGAGACAGGGTCTTGCTCTGTTGCCCAGGCTAGAGTACAGTGGTCCTCACAGCTCACTGCAGCTTTAAACTCCTGGACTCAAGCGATCCTCTCGCCTCAGCCTCCCAAATAGCTGGGACTATAGGTGTGCGCCACCACACCCAGCTAATTTGTCTTATTTTTCCTAGAGACAGGGTCTTATTATGCTGCTCAGGCTAGTCTCAAATTCCTGGCCTCCCGCCTTGGCCTCCCAAAGTGCTGGGATTACAGACATGAGCCACTGCGCTTGGCCCCTGCTGTCCTGTTTTAAGAGAGCACTAACAATAACCAAAACCAAGACACTTTAATTTCTTTTTTAATCAATATAGACACCTTTTCATTCCAAATTTTAAATTCAAGAGTAAATATTCATGGCAGAGTAGAAAGAACTCTGGGCAGGGAGAGAGGGATCGCCAAGTTGGTGGGGACTCTGCATCTATCTCATGCCGTGACCTTGAAGAAGTCACCTTGATCTCTAAAATGACTGAGTGAGATTAAATCCACACTTGATCTTAGCCAAAAGATCAAGACGTGATTGAGCGGGATTATATCTAAATCAAATAAAGTTGTCTAATAAAATAGAAAGAACAGATAATATTCTTTGTACTCTCAAAACTCTGATTCTAAGTAACATTATGACCAGCCATATATATGAAAGTATAAGAACAGCATGACCAGGTGTTGGAAGCCTGAAGCTAACGAAGAGAAATTCAGAGATAAGCATGAAAACCAGATAAGGGAGAAAAAGTCTACAAGCCATCCATATCAGGAGATAAGGAAGAAGAATTTTAAAAAATGACTCCCAAATTTGCATTCTGGATAACTATTTTTGTGGGGTTTTTTTCTTTTTTGTTGGAGATGGACCTCAGTATGTTGCCCAGGCTGGAGTGGAGTGGCACGATCACAGCTCACTGAAGCCTCTAACTCCTGGGCTCAAGTGATCCTCCTGCCTCAGCCTCCC